TACAAACATGGATTAGTTTCAGATGCAAACCAGGAATAAGGAATGCACAAATATTTTCTACTGCATCCATTCTCTTTCTTTTGCTCTATCTCTCTCTCTCTATATAAAGAATTTTAATATATTGCAATTTTCACTGTTTCTTTTATTCTTTCTTGATATCCAACTTGCAAGTCTCTGTTTTTGTTTCCATCTCTATTTCCTTCTCTCACTCTTTCATATATAAGACATATTTGGTGGAGGAGGGGAATATTCAACCAAAAATTGAAAATTGCTTTTTTCAATGCAAATTATTCATTATATCATATGGAAGTATTTTACAAAAAATTAGAGCCGATTGCACAATATTTCAAGCTTGGTTTAGGTTTGTAGTTCGTAACCATGCAATGAGATGATGTAACATAAACCGTAGATTTGTCTGCAGATTATCATTACGTTATTGTTGCATAATTATAATGAAATCATTAAGGTTTTTTCTCAAAAGCATTTTATTTTTGGTTGTATATTTAAAATATTCCTTTTCACAGACTTTATTTTTAAAATGGAATAAGATCATTCCAAGTTTCAGAATTTTGCTATTGCCCATCAAAATGACTGGAAGAAAGCGATCTAACAACAACAATGGAAAAGAGAGGTAACAAAGCATAATGAAAATAACTCCAGTTTGTTCAACTTAGGACACTTAGCATTGCAGCCAAAGTATTCTAAAATGCTGCCAATAACAAAGGAGAAAATGAAAAATACCTAACAACAAACCGAATATAGTGTCAAAATTTATATATATTTAAATATATATTATTTTTATTTATTTGTTATGTAACTATATGCATAATTGTCAACAATGTTTCTGTAAAACTTGATATTTCCTGTAATAAATTCTTAATAAATATTATTATTGTTATTTTACTTAAGTGTAAGGTAGTCCTACATTTACAATTCCTTACGGCTAACCATGAAAAGAAATTTTTGATGAAAACTACCTAAAACCTTTAAGTGCATATTGCTGCAAAATTATCAAATGTTGAATATACCCTCCTCTGCTGAAAGCATCATATATATATATATATATATATATATATATATATATATATATATATATATATGTGTGTGTATATATATATATATGTATATATGATGATAAAATATAGTTTTAAGGTATGCTATATTTATGGGCAAAAGTACTCAGTATCAGAGATAGAGCATATGTAAATATAAAAGTAGATGTAATCTGTTTCATGCTTGAACTCTCAATGCAATCTTCAGGCCATGTGTTGTATTTTGGCTTGGCTATTTATATATGCTGGTCAGTGGTACATTAGGTGGAGTGAGGTCTATTGTATTATCCTGATGGTTATTGGGTGGGTGGGTGGTAATGTTTAGGCTTCAAATTATTTTAGGCTAATGCGTAGAAATAATTGTGGTTCCAAATGTGGTTATTTAGCTATTTTATACAGTTGATTGTTTACTCATTATTTATTATTTGTTATTTATTTGTGGTTGATTATCATTTTTATTATACTTATTTGTGTTTGTATGTTCATTCGTAGTTTATTAATTTGTTTATTCTTATATATCTACACTCTTGTGCAAATTAATTGAAACAAAATGAATGATTCCGTTATTTATTTTTCCAATGAAACATGACCTAGTGCACATGTTAGAACTTCATATGTTCATTTCATGTAGTCATTCCTTGCAGATAGACCACAGATTCTCGATTTGATTTAAATCTGGAGTTTCCAGGCCAGTCTATATTACTTTAATTTGCTCACTGGTAAGGCCTATCAGTGTATTTTGGCAGCATTACAATTTTCGTACACTTCTGTGGAGTAACATCCATCACAGACAATAGCCATAGGACAACTAATTAACAGTCAGGACAATAGTGTCTGGGCATGATAAAAATCTCATGCAATCACGGATGATGCAATATTTTTCAAGGCCAAACAAATTTCATCATATGCCCTGAAAATAGATTCATGTTACTGCATGCCACTGCAAATGACCTAATCTGAAGAAAAAATAGAAATTGATTACACCCTGTCTTTAGGGGGTTTAAAACTGATGTATGGTGAAAGAAAGGAAACTAAAGTGGTTGTTTTCATTAATTTGCAAGGGTGTATGTGACACTATTAAGAAGTTGGTAGTAAATTAGGAAAAAGGGCTTCCTAAATAAATTGGAAACAAGAAAGAAAAATGATTTTTTTCGATAGACTGAAAGTATACAGATAACAAAGGCCAGAGGAATGAGGGATGGAAGATGTTTGTTTTCTTTTCTTTCTCTACCTTGGGGTTTTGGGTGTTTGTTTATGGTCAACTTAATCTTAAGTGATGTATTTTCTTAAGTGCACAATTGACCCTGCGTGGAAGAATAGCTTACATTTTAATGACTTCAAGTACCCATGAAAGCTAGAAGCAGGTTTCTGGTTGAAATTCAGTCAGTTAATAAAAACTTGGATTTTAAAGACCACCATGTTTCTAACGGGAAACAGAAATGCAATTGTAGTTATATTTTTGTTCATCTAAGATGCGATAGAATTTATTAAAACAAAGGAATTGGTTCTTTTTGTTGCTTGTTGACAAAAGAGCTGGTGAGAGAAGGTGACAGATAACGGAACCCAGATGTAAACCAACCACCAGGGACTACACATAGCCTCTGAGGCACAGGTAGAATTTCAAGGTAGGTGGAGGAATCACCTGCACCCTTTGGGCACTGATGGTGAGAAGCACTCATATGAGATGGAAGGAATTGGGCAGATCAATACTCTGCTGACACCACTCTTTGGGAGAGGGATCTTCTTAAATTTGGCCAGACAATCAATTTTCAAGACCAATGAAAGGCTCTTTATAAATGTTGGGATTTCTTTGGGAACGTCCAACCACCTCATGCCCCACACTGGGTTTGCATGAAGGTTCATAAACACATGAGCGAAATGAGAGACAGTTCAGGGGTATTAAGAGAAGAAGGAAGCAGACAGTTTAGGGTGCTGTTTGCATGAGAGGTGAATTGTCAGTTGGTTCAAGACCCTCTTTGCCACACCCTACACAACTTCTGCAGAAAGAAATTAGACTCCAGCCTTGTTCCAGACTACCAGATACAGCAGAAGTGTCGGCCCAAAGAAATCACAAAGTGAAAGAACTTAGACTCTGGCCTTGTTCTGGGCTACCAATTACAACTGAATAATTGGCCCGAAGAAATCACAGAGTGGAAGGAATCAGTCTCAGTTTACCGAGCATGGCTAAACGTAGTGTCACTGGGTATTAAGGGGGAAGGTGATGAAAATCTTCATGTTGTTAATTTAGTGAGTAGAACATTCATTGTATGAACCTTTGATATAAAATTGTTGTGTTACACAGCTGTCTCTTACTTTGTTTCTTGTGGCATCATCTCGCCAAAGCTGCCGGATTAACGACATTGGGTATACAACTCAGCCTTCACCTGCCTTGTGATCTATAACAAACAGAATGTGGGGCAGGATGTGATTGATGATCGGGGTGACCAAATCCAAGGCAGGCCATAGGGATCGACCACGGTCTTGCCCAGTGACTGTAGCAGTGTTTGACATCATATCTAGATTTTTTATTTATTTTTTGGGTTTGGTTAAATTATTTGTTTAGTTTAAAGTGTTTGCTTTGTATAAAGTATGTTACATTATCTGTGTTGCATATATATATATATATATATATATATATATATATATATATATATATTTTTTTCATTTTTGATGATGGTATTTTACAAAGTATTCATTTTTGATTTTTAAATAACATTGTAAAAAAAAATTTCAAGATGAGTTCTGATAGTTTATTTAGTAATTTTGTGTTGGTCTGAAAGGTAATTATACATATTTTCTGCTTAAAGTTTACAGTTTTTTTATTTATTGATCTAAGCAGATGCTTACAACATGGAAAATAAAGAAAACAGCATCAGCTTACAACAATAAATCAAAAAACTGTAAACTTTGATTAGAAGAGAAAATAGCTACAATTACCTTGTAGTGCATAAGTAAATAATAAACAAATTAGTAATCTACAAATGCACACATAAACACAAGTAAATGTAATTATAATAATAATCAACAACAAATAATTAAGTAAAAAAAATAGATGAAATAAACAAGAAATCTAAACAAATAAAGTAAATAATCAACAACAAATAATAAAGTGATCAATAATAAATATAGAATAAAATGTTAACAAGCAATACTATAAAATAGCTGTCTATATTTCTGAGATGAGGTATTATGTACATTATTTACATTATTTGGACTATTGTCCTCATCTGATAACTGACATCCATCAAACATGGCACATGGAACTAGAACAGTCTACCCTGGTGAGTGAAATAAAGGGTTCAGTTCGACATTCCAACCACCTGAAGAAGGCCAGAGCGTACAACGGCCGAAACATGATAAATATGGTGATAAAGATGAGGACAATAGTCCGAATAATGTAAATAATGTATAAAATAGCTGCAAATAACCACATTCGGATTCACAATTATTTCTACTTAATAACCTCTTGCGTAATTTGAAACAGTACCATTACTGCCCACCCAATAACCATCAGAATAATACAATAGATCTTACTACCCATAATGCAACACTGACCATAACACAACACATATGGCCTGAAGAGTGCATTGAAGCATGAAAAACAGATTCACGCCAAGTTTGCTTTTCATTTTTCTCCTACACATTTTTTTTCCTTTTTTCTCTCTCAGTTTTTCATTATTCCTTTCCACTTAATTCTATGCTGTATGTTTCTCAGCCAGAAAGCACAACTGATTCCAGCTGAGAAGGTCAAGGCATTGGATGTAACACTTATGCATGTAAACATTACAAAATAAGATAATGGATATTGCATCCATTTTGTTTTGATGTACATATTTTCTTTCAAACATGCAAAAAAAAAAAAAAAAATGGTTTGTATTGTGTTGTTAGGTGTGAAGCTGTATATTGACGTGTAGATTTTCCTCAAAGATTTCTGTATTCCTTTCTTAGATTTGTATCCTGGTCACCTCCTCCCCCTTGAGTCTGAGGAGCTTGTAATGATGCGGAGGTTGTTCCGAACAAAATCTCGAGTCATACTCTTTTTGGCAGGCACCACCGCATGCCTGTATGTTCTTCTGCTTTATTACTCTATGAATCGGTTGGATGCCGTCCACAGTCGGTCAGTTCACCTCCATAAACTAGATTCCGATATTGGGAGAATGGTGAGAAGAGCTGAGGAGGAGGAAGCCCTCAGTAGAGATAAAGTCTCTCAGCAGACACATCAAACAAAAATGGTCCGAGGGGTTCTCTATAGAAGGCTGCATTTGTATCAACCTACAATTAATGATACTTTTCAATGCCTCTACTCTAAGGTAAGAGAAAAATTTACTCTTTACTGTGTATCTTTTGCTGGCAAATATTTGTTTGAATAAGGAAGCATTGCTTAGCAATGGAAGCTAATCTCTTAGAATATTTTTTTTATTTAATTATTTCATCCCCAAGCAAGGTGATAAAACCACTAATATGCTAGCCCAGGGGTCATCAACCTTTTGCTAATTATGTGCCAACTTAAAGTTTTAAAATCATTCAGTGGGCCAACAGCATACATATTTTTATACAAGTCAAGGTCAATATACCTGTTCTATAGTATATTTTATATATTAATATATACAATAATATGTAAACCACATTAATAGAAATAAACGGTTTTTAATAGTTTTTCTTTTAAGTTTTTATTATTAATGGGTGTTTCATGATTGAGCAGTTTTGAAACAGCTAAATATCTTTTTTTGCATCATAGTAAGATAATGATTGACATTGCATAAAATCTTTGAGGATTGTAGTTGGCAGGGAAGCAAGAAATTAGAAGGGAAAGAATGTGAGAACTCATAGAATAGAACTAGCTATTGCATCTCGGTAGTTCAACAGTAAAATGGTGGGACCTTGCTATCTAGTAGTACGCTTAAATTATTGCAGTCTAGGCCAGGAGTCAGCAACCTTTTGCTAACTATGTGCTGACTTAGGGTCTTAAAATCATCCAGTTTGCCAACAGCATACGTATTTTTATACAAGTCAAAATCAATATACCTGTCCTACAATATATATAGTATTTATACTTTAGTATATATTAAAATTATAGCATATATACTTTAGTATATGTTAAAATTGAAACAGCTAAATATTTTCTTTGTGTTGTAGTAGTTATTGGTTCGAACTTCATGATGTCATTTGCTGCTGCGTGTGCCACTGGAAATTGCTTGGTGTGTCACGTGCGGCACATGTGCCGTAGGTTGCCAACTCCTGCATTAGGTAGTTATTGATAGTGACGGAAACTGAGAAAATGTTATTGAGGAGAAATAAAAAGTACAGGATTCAAGGAGAGAAGATGATGATGATGTTGCATTTAAATTTTGAAGATAATAGTTGACAGGAAAGTAAGAAGCTGTAAGACAGTTCCACAGGCAAGAAGTGTGAGAGGAGAAACTATTAGAATAGAACTTACGGTTCCATCTAGTAATTTCAAAAATAGGAAAAATGATGAGACCTGTCATTCTAGTGCTACGCTTATGAAGTCTGGGTACCAAAGAATTGCTGTAGTGAGTTATAAAGATATCCAGTAATCAAAATTAGAATTGTTCCAGGCTTTTCAGAAGGTAGATATCCACTTTCTGCTGTGTAATGATTTTAATTATTATTTTTTAATTAATTATTAATTAAGCAAACTTGTTGTGAGAAACATTTACAAATGTACAATTTGTAAGGTTTTTTAATTCATTCATTTTTTTACAGCTTATGATCCCTTTGTAGGAGGTTATTTAAAGCCAGAAAATATTTTTAGATTATAAGAATTGTTTTTTTGTTTTGTTTTTTAAATAATAATGATTTAGTGATACAAGTCTTACTAATTAACCCATAGCTAGAAGGAGAAGAAGTTGATTCATACATTTCCCAAGGGTATTTGTGCATAAGAGAAAATAACGAACCCAACAAGAATTGGAACTTTGCTCTCTGATTAACAATTCCGAGCCATTATCCATTACTCTACCCACATATCCAAGATTACAGCACCTAGTATTCCCAAAGGGTCGCCTATCTAAGTACATACCAGGCTTGACATTGTTTAACTTTGATGATTGTACAGGAACTAGTGTTTCAACATGATATGGCTGTAAGCCTACAATTTGTAAGGGAAACTGACCAACAGTGCACAAAATTTCATTTACCATTTTATGTTCAGCAGTTTCATTAATTTTAAACACATACAAACACAAATGCGCACATATAAAGTCTGTTGTAACTTTTTATATTCATTTATTATGTCTTTAATTCCTTGGGGAAAATAGGGCCACAACAACATGTCTCCAATGAACATGGTTCTGGGTGATCCTCTTCAGCTCGGCTCATGTTATGCCATCTGCCTTCCCAGGGGATTTTCACCAGCACACGTCATACACTCCACTTTGGAGGACTCTTCCTCGGCCATATTGTTGTTTGAAGATATCGTTGAGCTTTCTGTAACAAGCTAGTTTTTAAGTGAATAGGTTGTTAGCCTACTGCACAACCCCCAACCTGGAGGACCAGGGTGTGTCTTTCATCTGGTTTCTACCCAACAGACCTGTTGAGCTTGCTTGGATCTGCTAAAGGTCAAAGCCCCCGCTCACATAGCTTGGGTGGGGGGTTGAAGCAAGCAAGCTATCCTACCACATAGCCTCTTCACATATCAAGTAGTTGCCAAACATCCAAATTATTTCTTTATAAAAAAATTTCTAGTCGCGTGTAGAGAACTGTATACATTTATGAAGTGAAGGATACAGGTTCAATTCCTGTCGGAGGACACATATTTTCTATAAAATTTCTTGGACATTCAGGCTGGTAAATGATGTTAATACTGTTTATTAGAAAGAGAGCATTTACTTAAATATTTGTATCTATAAAAAAAAAATATGTATAAACAGAAAATATATTAAAATATTTGTCAGACTTTGTCTATTTCATAATATATATATATATATATATATATATATATATATATAGGATGAGATGATGTATATACCTTTGTATCTAAATTGTTTCTGAAATGGATTGTTTATATGTATTTTTTTCCTCTGTAATTTTTAGAAGCAAATTCCTTATAAATATCTGAATGATGATTACTGTGATTGTGATGATTCTTCTGATGAACCTGGCACCTCTGCCTGTCCTTCTTCCAAGTGAGTTTCTTCTATTTTTTTACTTTACTTCATCTAGCACTTGGTGACACTTTTTTTTGAACAAGACCAGTATACTCAAACCCTCAGTCATGATGACTTGTGATTTTGTGTTTTCACAACCATCGATGGTTTCTGAATGGTTCTGCATACTGTATTTCACTCACTGGGCTTGGATCAATGTGTAGTATAGTTGTAGGTAGACATTTTTATTCCACTATCAGAAATTAAGACAGCAACGGTTGGCATAAGTATTAGATATGTGCCAAGTTTCCAGTGTTTTTTATTAAAAAACATAAAAGGCTATTTTACTGTGGATTCAGTCTCTAAAAAAAATTCAGTTTATAAAAATTGGTTACTGGGAAAATTTGTCTGCTCCTGTTAGTTCTGTTATTTAAGTTATGATGAATGTACTGAAAACAAAGTTCAGTATTGTGTAGTGCAGAAAACAAACATTCTATGCAAGTGTATTCATTTAGCTCTCTATATGACCATTGTGTAGGAGTCAATGTGCCATAAAAGTATATTCTCATTTTGTTCTTTTCTGCTGTCTTCCTGTTTAGATTCATCTTTTTTTATATCATTTCTTCTTTATGTTTTAGAATATCTTTGTCTCATCTAAATCTTCTCTTCCTTATGTTTTAGAATATCTAAAACTTTTTCTTCCTTGTGTTTTAGAGTTTCATCTAAATCTCTTTCTTCTCAGAGACTTCCATTTTTAAAAAAAGATTTCCTTTTCTGTCCATTTGTTAATGAATGTGTGATCAAAGAAATGATAAACATTTGCTTGTTAATATACTAGTATTATTTCAAATTACTGTTCCCATCTTGTTTGATATAGATGTTATTATGGACACGTTTTGGCCAAGTAAAGTCTAGTCATTATAAAGTCCCTATTGATTGGCTGATATGGGATTTCTCTTGATTATTGTGATATTTTAAACCTGTGATGTCAATTATCGTTCAATCCTGCTGAATAATTATATATATCAAACAAGATGAGAACAACAGTTTGAAATAATACAAGAATATTGACAATTACTTATCTCTGAGATGAAATACAAAATTATGAAAAGTGGTATGAAACACCATCATAACCAAATGTCCCAAACCACCTGATATTGACTATAAAAGGCTTCAAAAACACATCACTAATGTCACTAATTGTCTGGTGGATATAGGAGTTGATTATATATGTGTTACTGTCATCTTTGTGGTTGTGAGTTCAATCCTTGGATCAGGTAGTTAAGCATTGATTCAGCAGAAATGAATAATAACTGACATTACAAGGACAAAATCTCATAATAATCCATAGATATCCCATATTAGCCAATCAATGGACACCTGATGATGACCAGAGGGTATTTGAAAGAAACATTGTACTTATAATAACATCAATATCGACCAAAATGAGAAGAATAGTTTTTAAATATAAAAGTATATTAACAATTATCTTTGAAATGAAATACTAAATTTGCTTGTTACTTGGAAAGTTATATTGTTTTTTTCTGACATATTTGATATCTGAAAAAAAATCTCCATTTCTCTGATAATTGGGATTTTCTTCATTACTTAAAGATAAAATTTACTCTAGTTATTTAGGTATAAGGTGTTTTATTTGAAGCCTTAATTTTATATGTAAAAAGTATGAACATATTTCAACATATAATGGGATATTCAATTTATTATACAGAGAAAGTGTGAAATGATTTTTATAGTACCTCATTTTATTAAGATGATTTCAGAAGCCAATATAAATTGTAGACCTGAGGATGTTTTCTCTCTTTAAAAATACCATGTCCGTTTCAGATTTAGGTGGTCAGGACTTTTTGCAACTTCCATTCTTTAATATTTGACTTCTTGGGATAACATAATGGAATAGTTTCTCATTGTCTTTACCATAGTTTTAAATTTGGTATTGTCCTATAAAATTGTCTGCCATCTGAGGCTATAGAAGCTAATCTGTCTTGCTATTTAACCTGTAGCTGGGATAGAAGAGATAAATTCTTTTCTTCCCCAAAGCCATTAGTCCAAAGTGAATGTGACAGACACTGTTAAAATTTGAACTTGGCTTGCCAATTCAACTTTCCATGCTAGAAACTTCTGCTCAATCCATATGTCTGCGGAGATCTTGGGGGATTTAAAGGTTAGGTAAAGATCAGGGATTCTACCATAAGAAAAATATATATAATATATATATATATATATATATATATATATATATATATATATATATATATCCACTGGCCATTACAATGTATATAAGGATCAGTCTGTTGAGTAAACAATATTGTCAAGATGATTCACTATTATTGTTATTAACTTTTGATTAGTCTTTTATCTTAATTTCAATTGCTTTTTATTGCAACTCCCAGAAAAAACTAAATTTCTGAAATCGTATCCTTTTTTTTCTAAGGAAGTTTACCTATTTAGGGTAGTTGCCTTACCAATTAGGCTACAAAGACTTGTTAGAGATGCTGACATTTTACTATATAGCTTTCATTATTTTTCCTGAACACCTGATATACTGTCTTGTTTGTTTACACAGACTAGTAGTATTAGTAATAATAAATTGGTATTAGTCAGGTAGATTTCTTGAGAATAACTGATGTGAATTTGAATTTTACCTGAGATGTATTGGTTATTTTCCAATCTGTTCTGTTTACTGATGGCTGTGGAATGACAGTCCTGAGAGTTGTGATAAAAAGTAACAGAAATTAAGATGAAAAAATTCTGGTAAAATATTTAATAATATTTGCCAATATTTAATTTGAGAATTTTGAATAAAATCACTGTTGTAATTTTTTGTGTATTACAGGCACTTCTTCATTTTGACTTTGGATTCTGAAATAATATTTTGTGAATATATGAATAAATATTTTAAAAAAGGTGTTTATATATTTCTTTCTTAAATGTAAATATAAAGATAATAATGAAACAAAGAACTTGATTATCGTGAAAGATAGAGAATGAAAAATGTATTTAATAAGAAGCTTATGATTGTTAGTGTGATATAGAATCTGAACAAAAGTGGATAAATCAGACAATGTGGAAAGGCTTTTTATTGACAAAGCATTTCACCTTTGTTAGGTAGGCGTTTTTGAGTCAGAATGAAAGACAAATCTATGTGTGTTTTTTTATTTTTTTATTATTATTAAATCTGTTAATGTCTGCTTGTTAGGTGGGCATCTTCCTGTTGAAATGAAAGAACAAAAATACTTTTTGTTTTTTGCTTTTGTTTTTTTTTTTTTATTAAAGATGTCGATCTCTGCAGGACTCAAAAATACCCGATTCCTGGCAGATTCCTCTTACTTTCTTCACCAGCTCATACACCACATTGTATTTTTTCTATTCATTTTTGTTCTTTCATTCCAACTAGAACAAAGATTAACAGATTTAATATAAAAAACCGACAAATTTGTCTTTTGTTTTAACCTGAAGATACCTACTTAATTACCTAAAAAAGGTGAAATGCTCTGTCAATAAAAAGCTTATATAAACTATTAGGGTTTATGAAAACTATTTTTTTTGTTTAGTATGTGTTTCTTAATGAGCAAGTAAGATAATGGCTTATTTTTGACTCCCTTCTTGGTTGGGCCAAGGACTTTTCAGCACCCTTGCATTTAGTTATGTCCAAAATTTTTTATCAGAAAATCTACACTGTTTTAAAAAGACAACCGAAGCAAAAAAAATAAAAGGCACAATATTTTTTTTTTTTTATAACAGACTGATAAATTTTCATGAATTACACATAATTGTAATGTTATAAAAATCTGTTTCTGCAATATATTTGATGATTTACTGTAGATTGACCTACTTGATGACTCAAGGAACATAACTCTCTTTTCCTTATGAAAAAAAAAGTTTTGACTTACCAATTGTAAAAATGAAGTGAATTAGATTTAAAAAAAAAAAAAAGATCATACTGTTTTGTGCTTTACCCCACAGGATCTGAAAAGGATGACTCTAATGGTTTTGAGAAGATTTAAAGAGAATTTCTTTTTCAAAATACTATTTTTATTGAAGACCTATTTTTTTCTTATTTATATTTTATTTCTTTGAAAAATATTTTGCAAAGTTTTTTGGTTCATAAAATTTTTGAGCAAGACAATTTTGCTGTGTGAGTTGACTGTGGATAATGGAATGAGTCGTTAATGATTCTGCAGATGTTGGGGTCCTTGCTATTATTTTGTAGATGGTGGGCCCTCCTGTATTCATCTATAAATGCATAAAAATGTGAGTCAAACTTGTTTTAAACAACCTTTCACCCCTAATCATACTTTTGGGGTCATCCTCATGCTAACAATATTTTTGGGCTACTCAGCATCAACCAAATATTATGAGTTTTTAATCTTTCAATTTACAGATTTTATTGCGACTTCCAATTTGATGGTGCACGTCCCCAGTACACATTATCAAGCAGAGTTAATGATGGGTTCTGTGATTGCTGTGATGGAAGCGATGAATGGGATGAACAGTTACAACAAAATACAAACAAACAGAATGGTAAATCTCTCTCTCTCTCCTCCCCCTCCCCTCCCCTCTCTCCTCTCTCTCCCCCCCCATCTCCTCTCTCCTCCCCCATCTCCCTCTCTCCTCCCCATCTCCCTCCCCTCCCCATCTCCCTCCCCCTCTCCCATCTCCTCTCTCCCCCCCCCCCATCTCCCTCCCCCTCTCCATCTCCCTCCCCCCCCTCTCCCTCCCCCCTCTCCCCTCCCTCCCCTCTCTCTCTCGCTCTCTGTTTTGTTATTCTTTGTTTCATAAGAACCTTACAATTTTTTTTTTTTTGCTTTAGCCCTTATCTTCGTTCTTTCGGGGTGTGAACTCAGATGTTGTATGCCACTTGATAGTCAGTGGCTTAGTAAGCAAACTCTGACATGTTTCACCTTGTTCAAAAGCCCTACCACAGAAGAATCCAAATTATCAAACTATTTGGAGAGTGAGGGTGAATAAATTTGGATAAGTAAAAGTCAAATTTATTCATTTGGCACTTTTACAGGAATCTATTTAAAAGAAATCAAATCACAAGCCGAGCTGCAGACATTTGATAAAAGACAAAGAAAACTTATTACTCTATGACCATCATGCAAGAATTGATGTGCCATAAAACAATCATGGAACCTGTCATCCTTTCCAGAGGATCTATCTGCTTCCCATTATAACATCAAAGGTTCCTTCTTTAGACCCACATCTTTGTCGTCGAATAATAATGTTTTTTGGCAGTGCTTAATTATTTTTACTTCATTTGTACTTATTTTTATTTGTTCTTCAGCAATTTTTTATAATAGGGTAGAAGTCTTTTATATTTAGTTATACAATTAACTTGGTTAAATCTTTTATATTCTAGTTGTATAATTAACTCAGGACAAAGTTAGGAGTAAACTAGTGGAAAAACACACAAACTCCTATAGGCTGGTTCCACAACATAAACTACAAACATAGTTGTGAATTTCTACAATTGTAAAAAAGATACTTCTTTGTTGTATTTTCATTTAATGTTTATTTGATGATTTGTGAATCTATTTCAGCCAAGTCACAGATACAAGTTTCCAAACATGGCCTTTGTTCAAATCGATGCGACCAAATCATTCAAGAAGTACGTAAACGCAAGATAATCATCATGGAGGGGCGTAAACGAAAAAGTGAATATTTGAAAGAAGCCCTTTCAGTAAAAGACAAAGAGGTCAGTTGGAATTAGATGAGGAAGTAAGGTGTTGAAACCTCCACTTGAAATTCTTTCTCTTCTAGAAACTTTTTTAATTTGTTCATTTTTTTTTTCTTTATGGGATTAAGTAGAATTTGTTTTTACTTATTACATTTTTCTTAGCTTATAAACAATAACAATGTCAACAATACCTAATTATTGGATATCATTACTAACAATTTTCTCACTAATTATAGGTTAGTACTAACAAATTTGCCTTTAGTCAGAGATAGAATTTCTGCATAGTTGCTAGGGTTTTACTGAGAGATAACCAGAGTTAAAATTGGAAAGCTGAAATGTGGATTTTCTATTTTTAAACATTTTGATATACGTTCTGTTTTTTTTTTTTTTTTTCCAGTTCTATGGACCTGAAGGTGTTTTTTACAAGCTAAGTTTCAACTGTTACAAGACCAACATCTTTGCCTATGAGTATACAATCTGTCCTTTTAAGAAGTGCATTCAGCAGAAAGCTCCAGAGCCACCTTTGTCAATGGGGACTCATCCAGAGTGGGAGAAGATGAGACCTGGAGATTATATCCTAAAGATGACACGGGGTCATTCCAAATTTTGCCCAGATCAAAAAGAACGTCTAACAAGAGTAAGATGATGCTGTTCTTTTTATTTGGTTAATATTCAATTTTTTTCCCTATACTGTTTTAGCTGATTCAGTCTCTGGTTGCCTTCAGGTACAGTCATATAAATATGTGTACAAATGTCTCACATCAAATCATTACTTGATCTCAAGTATGTGCCCATCTTCTCTACAAGTAACAGTTGACAGGATATACTGGGTTACATGATACCAACAGTAGAGAGTAATTGAGCTAATCTCTTGGGAGATGTGGATTCATGCCTTTTCCAAGGGCATAGTGTGAAAGGAGCAAAAACTACTTTAGCTAGAATTTGAACTCAAATTGCTGATTCTGTTTTCCGTGCTTTTCAATCATTCGACCAACTCTGCACCTCCACCTGTTATTGGTCACTTTTCTTGTCTTCTCTGGTCTGTGCTAATGCCATTTTGTCTTGATACGTTCTTACCAATTTGCAGAGTCTCTATAACATTTTTTTCTATAAATATTTTGAATCTGTTTTTGGAAATCTTCATTTTCAAGTTGAAACTTGTTCCAGAGCTGCTATCTAAAAAGTTATTCCTTCTTGAGATGATAGAATATTTTGGAAATTCTTTGGATCCAATTGGATTGTATTTGAGAAGAAGAAACACTTCCTCCTCATCACCAAGCAGATACATGTTGAAAGAAATACTTGGAAATAGTTGCAGGTATAAAAGAAATAGCAATTGAAAATATGAACAGATGCTACACTTGGATCTTTGCCAGAGAAAATGTTTCATTTTCTAATAATCATTTCTACAAATCTTTTTCTTTTTTTATTAAATCATTTTGTAATGTTTTCATATTTTAGAAAATGCATGATTTTTTTTTTGTAAACCTTAGAGGAATCACTTGTAAAGAATTTTATTTTGCATAACCATTAATCATTTGTGCTGGATAATGAAAATTGTTTTGTAAAAAAAAAAAAAAAAAATATTGTTCTTGAAGCTAATGATTGTGTGCAAAAAAATTTTAGCTTTTGTTTTTGTTGATTTCAGATCTTTTTTCAATGTGGTATCCAAGATGGAGTCCATTCAATTGAAGAAAATGTGTGTGAATATAACGTCAAATTCAATACACCAGCCGCTTGCTGAATTTTTTTTTTTTCATGTTTTATAAAACATTCAAATTCTGCTGTAATTCAATGAGACAATCCTTTTGGCAATGTTTTACTTTTTATTGAAAACTTTGCTAACCTCATTCCTAAACTGACAAGGCAGCCTGGTTTATATATATATATATATATATTTTGTATTAGTGAATAGTGGTGGTGGTGAGGGATTTATATGTTTTGCTGTATTTTATTTATATATTTAATTTTAAATGACCAATGGATGTCTGGAATTTAATTGTTTATATTCCACAAAATTTGGTTGTTTTATTTATTTATTTACATATATTTTGTTTTTAATTTCCCACCAAAATATTTTTTATTCATGTTGGATGTTAATCTTGACTGATGTCTAAAAATCCTTGTTCATCATTTATCTGATAATATTAAGCCATAACAGATAAAAGCATCTTCACTTCTTATTAGGGAATCAGTAGGAGACTGGTTGGTGATTTTGTTGATATTTCAATGTTTATTTACATCATCTGCAGAACATCAAAAGAAGTGTTTTTTTTTCTCTGCCTATTTATATTAGCGCATTGGTGCAGGTATGAACCGCTCTAAATGGGTGTAGAAATGTATATCCTTATTAGAAATAACCATTTGAAATATTAAGAAAACCAACAACTCTCAGCTGTTGATAAAATATGCATTATCAACAATTCAATATTTCAGCCCTTATGACATATATAATATATATAATATATATATATATATATATATATATAAAATATATATATATATATATTGTGTGTGTATACAGGCATGTTTTTGCCATATGTCTTCAAGATATAGGTGATTATGGCTATCCACAACTGCCTTTTTTAATATCTGTAGGAATGGAATAGTTTTGTATTGCCTTCTTCATGGTTTTTAATTCAAAGTTGTTCTTGTCTCTTGAGAGAGTTATTCTACCCTTTTTTTTAAGAGCATTTGTGCAAAGTGAACATAAACCATCTTAGCTGGAATTCAAATGTGACTTTCTGATCCCTTTTTCAAACCTTAGTCCCGCTTTTCTTTCTAATGCATGCATACAGGATATTACGAAACTAGCTTTGCTATGTTAAAATGTTTTCTATAAATGATTAAAAGTTCAAATTATATTAATCAGCAAGTCCAATATTTGACAGCATATAATGCGGCCACTTTTTGATGGCATTTGGTTCCCAGTTTTTCCCTTGAATAATAAAAGTGAATAAACATCCCCCGGCTCTTCTATGTAAACTTGAAGTAAGCTATTGTTTACTTGGCTACCATAGACTATCAATACTTGTACCTAACTTGATAATACTGTAATGTTAAATGTAAATATTAGACCATTACTAAAGTTTGTGTTTGATTTTCTTTGTTTTTCATTTTCTAATCAGGCACAAATGTAATGATCTAAAATCAAGAGGGCAGTCATATATGATGTTTAAATTTGGTCATTTTGAATTTCTCTTTATTTACTACCTACAAAAATTAAAACGTCGTAACTTATTCATTTGGTGTTCAAGATCTTCCACAGACTTTGTAGACTACTGTGTATATGAAATGTTCCTGCTTTGTAGAGAGTTCCAGGTCACCATTGGGCAAGATATAACACTTGTCAGTTTTTTCTTGTGGCAAACAAAAAAGTTGCAATTCAAAAAATTTAATATTAAATCAAACATTTTTATTTAAAGTCTCAGAATTTACTTTTGAAATATTTATTTGGTCTACAAGAGCATTATATCGGAGTCCCTGTGTCATCAAAACTACTTTGATTTTTCAATATTCTTGAAAATTGTCATTGCAGTTTTCTGACTCATGTTCATGGGCCAGTTAATTTAAAATTCTTTTTATACATTTCTAGAATTCTTTTTTTTTTTTAAATTTCAATTTAATTATTTTTATAATTAAACTTTATTTTAAAAAAATTAAACTTTTAATTTTTTGAGAGGCTGAAAAACTGAGGATTTGTGTATATTTATGTGTGTGAAAGATAAGCAAAGAATTTTTGTTGTTGTTAGTCTTATTCCGCATCTAAGAAAACATTCTGATGTTTAGTCATTTGATTAGATTTTGGAAAATGTATTTGGTCAAGAAATTTTCAGTTCCCAGTCGCCAGTGCTCAAAAAATGCAGTAAAAATTTATGTCACGGAAATATGTAAAGTTGCTTGTTCTATCAAAGCTAGATAGCTCAATTCACCCTACTATTTTACTCATGCCTTTCCCAAAGACATTGGTATAAGGTGAATCCAACTGCTTTGGCCAGAATTTGAACTCAGCCTGCCAATTCCATTACTACAGTAATAACAATTATGTCACAATAAACTCATAAACTGTCGGACTGTTCTATACATATTGGAGATGATAAAACTTTCCATATTTTCTTTATTACCTATATTATTTATATTAATGTTTTGTGATTTTTTATTTTTTTTATTTTGTAAAATTGTAGAAAGTAGTTATTCGAAAATCACAGTAACAAAAAGCAAAAACCTGGAATTAAACACATTGTACAAGGATCTGTTGTAGAGATCTGACAAATAAATAATAAAATAATTATAAAATAAAAAAAAAAAAAGAAAAAGATGTGTGTGGGCTGCAAGAAGTTGTTGCTAATAAAAGCAAATATTCAAAGAAAAATTAATTTGTGGGAAATAGGATTTCCAAGAATATTTGATGGACTTTTTTCTGTTTTGACAAAATATCAAAAAATTTCCAAATGTTACTAAAATCCTAATCCCAAACTTTGGAAAATCTGTTTACTATAAACTATAAATTTTTTTTCTCTCTCTCTCTTCTTTTTTTTTTTTTTCTTTTTTTAGTGATGTCTCTTTATGGAGGCAAATTCCTTTACTGTTTTGTGAAATGTTCAGTAATTTTTGAGGATTTTACCTGGGAGTTTGATAAAACAGTTTTTAACAGACAAATGATGAATGTTTTGTTTTTGTTCATTTTCTGTCCATACTAGGATTAGAATTATATTTTTGGAACATAAATAATATATTTAGTTTTTCTAAATAAAAAGAAAATGATTTAAGTTTCAAATCAATTCCCTCTTTTAGTTGTTTATTTTGTCTGTAATTGACTGGACGACATGGCTGAGTGGTTAGAGAATGTTCACTTTCTGATCATGAGACTTGGGTCTCTCACCATTTGTCAGGAAGGTGATTTCTTGAGAATATCAGTCTGGGAGAGGTGATCCCAGCATGTGGCACCTTTTGGAAAGTGCCTGAAAACCATACCACATTTTGTCTCAAGCCTTTTGAGTGAAATTGCGTAGACAGAACTCTTTGGGGAGCCGTTGATAGTGGTACTAGCACAGAGTCACAAGTCATTGTGACCGAGGGTTTTAGTGTGCTTGCCTTGTTCAAACTGTTGATTAAACTAGATAGTATGTTCTCTCCCAGAAACTGTAACTATGGTCTGCTCAGCATAGTTGCAGTATAAACCACATGTGGACTCAGTGGGTGTTGAACAAACATAAATGTGCCTGAGCAGGCGTCTGCAACAGGGATTGGCTAGTTGCCCTAGGAGACAGGCATCCTTCAATTAACAAATATTCATATAGTTTATAAATCAGAAAGTAGAAACAAAAGACAACAGAAGGGTTTACTTTCAAATTTATCTTAATTTTATTTATTTACTTTTTTACTAAAGTTTGCTCAATACAAGGCCCAAGAGCCACTCGAGGTAGAGGGTTAGAGGTATATGATATCATACATAAAATGAGAAATGCAGAAGTAAGAAGTGAAGATTATGAGGATATGCTGGCTAGGTAATGATTGATCCAAGACTTGAGGTTAAGATTGGAGCATTTGTTGAAGCACCCATGTGGGAGCCTGCTCCACAAACTAGCAGTTCTTGGGGGAAAATGTTTTGAGAACTTCTTACCAGAAGAATACATGGAGAATGAGGCTGATTCGACCCTGTGGACGTAGCAAGGTGGTGTGTTTCTACCATTTTAAAGATCAAACAGAATACAAGATAGTAACTGAAATAAAAGTTGTATATTGAGTGTAATTGGTTACGAGTCCTAGGTCTGACCAAATGACCAAACATCAGATATGTATATATATATATATATATATATATATATATATATATATATATATATATATATATATATATATATATAAAATATATGAAATAAAATCTCCACATTTACCTTGATAAAGTTGCTCAAGGAACAAAATATGTTGGCATAGAAAAGTTGTCCTTTTTGTCTTATGTATAAATAAAAGACAAAATAAAAGACAATTTTTCTATTGACTTCTATACCAACACGTTTTCTTCCTTAAGGAACTTTATTAAGAAAAATGTGAAGATCTTATTTTGTAACTTGCAGTTATACACAAAAATAATGTGGAAGAAAAATATTGTTGACTTGATTTTGAATTTGAGAACACCCTAAAATATTCTCAAAGCTTGCTATGTAAGGAAAGAATGAAATGCGTTGGTAAAAAAGTTTTCCTTTTGTCTTTTATCTATTCTTTTTACAGGATTTTTGGGTGAGACAGAAAAGCTTTTCACCACCACTGTCTTAATCTTATTAATCATGTGTTCGGTCAATGTATTTTAGTTTTATAAGTTTTCATTTTGGATTCTTTAATTTTTTCCATGACTCTTGATCCAGATTTTCTTTTTGAAACATTCAACATATAAATGGTTCTTGTTGGCATAATTGTGTGAAACATTTGAGACAATTTCTGATGAAAGAAAAATATCCAATGGACTTTTTCTATTTGGGAAGATATAAAATAACAAAACATTTTGTGATAAAACTATTTTTTTTTTTTTTTTTTTGCAAAAAAATAACAAAAACACTTGATTTTCAGAACTTTGAATTTTGGCTGTAGACATTTGCAGAATTGGTGGCTTGAAATGTTAACTGCTGCATTTTCAATCATTTGCTGAATTAGTGTAAGTTTGGGGCGGGAAACTTATTGAGAAAATGCAATCACGGCAAGGAGGATTATGTGGTAGTGAGTGGATTTTGAAACTCGAAATCCTGC